TTTTTATTTTTAACATTGGATAACAACTGTCAACACTGGTGACAAAAATAAATAAAATTATACAGCCCACTTTTGCTTACACAATCACAGTCATACAGAAAAAAAATTGTATTGAGTTAATTAATCCAGCCATAATCCATAATCTGGGGCAAAAGGCATGGGAAATTCTCATGCTTGCCAAAGACATTGTGGAGTTTGTAGTTTTCCCCAGTTTAGTGAAGAAACACTTTACTTCCTGGCGTGCAATTTAGGAGAACACAGAGAATTATTGCTGGCCCGATTCCCAAAATTCAGATTACGACCAAAACACCATTACATTGAACATTTCCCTCAATTTATTAAGGCACTTGGTCCACTGTGTGATGTCTGAACTATGCGATTTGAGGGCAAGCACACATTTTTCAAAAAGGTTATCCATGGCGCTCAGAACTACAGGAACGTAGCCCTCACAGTTGCTGTGAAACACCAGAAAGCAGTCAGCTATCATTTGGTCTCCAGCTCATTTTTCACACCTTCAGTTGCGATGGAGATGGTCTTGGTATAATCCTTCCCTGATAATATCCAGAGGGTTCTCAGTCAGAAAATCCACAAGCCAGCAGAAGTTCTTATAGGTTCATCCATATGTCTAGATGGAGTTTCATACAAGGTAGATATGGTAGTCTGTGTTGGATCCTTCTCAGATCTCCCTGAGTTTAGGCAGATCACTCAGATTTTTGTAGTTCATACAGAAATCATGTTTGTGTGCAGAGGAATGAGTGCATGGTACCATCAACACTATAGATCGTATGAGGTTTGCTAATCTAATATGACCTGTGTGTAGTTCCGCTGTCAGAATGTCATGATATTATCCCTCTTTCAACATACAGAATAGGTGGGAAACTAATGGTGACTCTCAAATGTAAAATTCTGTTCTGAACAATCTCGCTCTCTCTTCAGAGATGGCAGTGCAACAGAGAATGCTTGTGAGAGTTATCTTATCTGAATCCTGATGCAGTTGACCTTTTAATTGGCTCCCTTAAAGATGGTCTTCAAAGAAACTATGACTTTAGCTTACAGTTTAAAGATCCCAACATCGACAAAAAACTGCGCAATTTTATAGGATATAGGAGCTAGCTGAGTGACCTAAGCTTAAAAACATTCCAGTGCTTTCTCTTGTTTCTCTTGTGGTTTTAAACATGCAAAATACTTTTGCTGCAAGGGTTTTCAAGTTGGGGTAGCCTGGCAAGATATGCTGGTTAAATTCTGTCCAAGCCAGGTGCGGGAAACTCATCCTTCAAAGTCACACTGCAGGTCTATTATTTCTAATTGAATGTTGGAGGGCAGTTCAGAGGCATTTGCGGTGAATGGCGGACAAAAAACTTTGAAGTCTTTCTCCAGTTCGCCAAAAATCTGAAAGCGTTCCTCAAACTCCTAGTCCCGTTATTTTGTCTTTGGACCGCTTTATGTCTGCGTCATGTTGGGTCATGCACACATCTTTCAGACAAGGAAAGTGAGCAGCATCACCACCCGCAAGTTGTGTCTCCCACAATGACAGCTTTAACTTGAACGCACATATGCTGTCATAGTACTGTGTGACAGCTTTGCTGCACCCTTACAGCATTTTGTTCAAGTTATTCGAGTGCTCTGTAACATCCACCATAAATGGTCCTGCATCCATTCTGTGGACTCTAATTCTTTTTTCCATGGACTGTTTGATTTCCTCTTTTAAATCAAAGAAGAGCCTCAGCACAACACCTCGGCTTAACCATCTTACCTCGGTGTGGTATGGCAGGCCATAGATGTGGTCTTTCTCTCTGAGAAGACTGTCAATTTGATGGTGATTCAGGCCTCTGGATTAAATTTATGGGTTGAACGACCACCTCCATGAGGTTATCCATCTTTAATGACTTGAAACAAAATGCCTCCTGATGCAAAAGACAATGAAAAGTCCAAATGTCACATCCTCCATCAGCAGGCTGCACCTTCTCCCTGAATTTTGTCACAACACCTGCTTTACTCCCGGTCATTGAAGGTGCACCATCTGTAGCCAGGCTGACAGTGTGACACCAGTCCAACCCTGTCCAGGAACGTGAAAATATCAGCTTCTGTTGTGGTGTCCGCCATTGGGACCAACTCCAAGAACTCCTCGTTGACGGTCAAAGTGTCATCAACTCCGCCAATGAACATAGCCAGTTGTGCAACATCTGTAAGATCTGTGCTTTCATCGATTGCAATTGAAAACTAAAGAAATGACTACACTCTGCACTTCAATTGGCTGTCCAAATTCTTCAAAAGATCAGAAATCCTATCTGCAACTGTGTTTCTTGGCTGGTATTTGCAAAAGCCTGACGCTTTTTAGGGCACACTATCTCTGCAGCCTTTTGCACGCATGTCTTCACAAATTCACCTTCACCAAATGGTTTTGAAGCCATTGCAATTTTATTAGCAATAAGACAGCTGGCTTTCACTGCAGCATCACATATTTCTCGGCTATGAGTAAACGCAGACTGCTGCTTCTTCAGACCCGTAAACAATTCTTTCACCTTCTCTGTTCTCTGTTGTCCTTGCAAGTTTCTGTATTTTTCGGCATTTAGTGCCTCAAAGTGGTGTCAAAGGTTAAATTCTTTCAGCACTTAATCCTGCTGTGATCGTACCAAACACACTTCCGTGAATAAATAAGATGATGACCATTTTTCTTCGAAAACTGGACTCTGTATCCACTTGTCTCTTGACAGAGACAGAGACATTTTGGGGCAATGAGGGTGCCAAAGTACGTAATGTTCAAAGTAAAAGATGTAATGGGAAAAACGACAAGACAGCTAGCTCAGGGCCAGCTATCAGGTATGGGCCTACATGCTCAGCCTCAGCATAAACAGTTTGCCTGCTTAGCATAATTGCTATTGAGAGATCCAGTGGGCACATTTTGAACAGCAGTTACTTTAATTGAAACATTTTAGCTAATTTTAACTTCGAACTACAAATCATCTCATAGGCCAGATTAAACCCATTCACGGACCTGATCCGGCCCGTGGGCCGCAAGTTTGAAACCTCCGATTTAGATCTTCAAACTTCCCAAACTCCTAAACTTCACGGTGGCAGTGTTCCACTGGACGTTCAAGACTGTCTTAATTGTCCCCTTCAACCCATAAGTGGTTATCTATTATTTGAAGTAACTTTATCATTTGCATGTTTAGTCTATGTGTATGTAAGTGATAGCACACTGTAACGCAATTTATAGAAAGGGCATAAGAACTTACGGTACAAAGTGAGCATCAGTACTTTAATTTGTTGCCAGAAAAATATAAAAATATTTCACCATTGATTTTAAAAGCCCTAAGTGGATTTGTTCAGCATTACTTTATTTATAAGCAAATTAAATATTATAAGAGTGTATAAGTAATAATGGAAAGATATGTTTTTGACTTTTTATGCATGTAGACATGATTACTCATTATCACAACTCATTTTAAATACTGCTGTGCCGTGGAGATAAGCTAAACTTGCTTTAATGTCAAACAGAACCTTAGAAGAAATGTGATACATACTTCTACAATATGGATCAATATTTCTCCAGTCAAAGAAAGACGAAGATGTACTTGAGGTCCAATTGTAATTTAAAGTGTCTACAAATATGATCCTAACTGAACAGCATAATTAATTTATAGAAACTATGGAACAAAGGTGATTTAGCAAACTATCTCACTAAGAAACTTCCAATGATTTTTTTTATTAATATAATAGAAAATAAACATACAGTGGTCATTCACAATTTGAGGGACTGCCATTTGCCATTTAGCAAGTATAGTTTCATAATACTCCTCTTGTCTTTATCCCACTTCTTCAACAAACAATGTACACCAATTAGAGACAAATTTGAGCACAAACCTAAAAATAGATATTATTTAACTGTAACTTATACTGTGAAGGCTTTAACTCAGACTGTAATCAGCAATGAGTTTATTGTTTGAACATAAATTAACATGATAAGAGACGAACATGTCTTTTGAGACACCATGAATATCTAAAAAATATCAAGAGTAGAGCCACAAGAAAAGAAAAACTTTCATATTTTTTTTCTTTCGGATATGTCTTTGTTGTGATCAGTATACTATGCTTGAAAGAGTGGCTCTTTTGCAGAGGACAAAGTAGTGGAAAATAAAGAAGAAAGTAAACAAAGTCAAGGTGAGCATTAGATAGAGAAAATATTCTATCTCCAGCCAATTTTATCTCTCAGTTTCTCACTTACTTGTCATGCCTACACACATTGAGTCCATGGAATGATGTGTCACATCTGGTTGCTTGGGAAAGAAAAAACTCATTATGACTTTCCCGTCTGACAGAAACAGATATCTGAATGTACAATTCATTCTGTTAAATCAGTAAGCTTGATGCATTTGTGTCTGATTCAGGAGAAGCAAATAGCACTTCCCTGTTTCATTTCCTCTATTATTCAAGTCTCAAATGAGATATCAAGTTGAATAAGTGCAAATTACTTGGCTCAAAATGTAACTACGGAACACCGTAGATCACTGGATGTTGTGGACTTCTGGTTCTGGTTGAGAGATTCTGGCTGTGCCACATTTGGAATGTTTTTATTGATTATTTACTTAATGACAAATAAAATGGTTCTCTGACTTCCATAGATATTCCACACAAATTAGCTTTTTCAAGGGTGGTTTTAGACTTATAACGCCCCCCTTGATTCCCAAATATTGATGACTTATTTAGTGCTGCTGATGTGTTATGTACAATTTGATGCAAAATACGACTGGGGGAGAGAATGGGGGTGGGAGAGTGCGGGAAAAAATGGGATGAAAACAAAACAAACAGCAACAATACCAGCAGCAAGAAGATGGAACAAACTCGTTGATACACATGCATGAAAATACAGATAAGCGCAGGAAAAATGGCACTAAAGTGTGAGTTTGCACAAAATGAGATGTGGGTCCTGCATGAATTGTGCAGAGGGCCACTGCTACCCCTCTTCAAGATAGCCAACCACAGTAATACCACACATTCACCCAGAGTACAGCAGAGGAGGACCGGCACAGAGCTCCTGCAGCTGTGAACCAACGCCCCCCAGGAATCAGGAGCCCCAGCGAAGCAGGCCAGAGTCCAGTCTAGCTGCAGGTGGGCACAGTAGCTAGCAGTGAC